TGGCCACCAGAATTCTGTGCTCATCAGGCAAGGAGAACACTATATGCACATGGGGCAGCAAGGAGCAGAGGACATGTATTGTGCATCTCTGTTATGCCCATGCACATTCTCCACTGTCTCATTGGGCTTCCTGGACAAACAGAGGTTCAAAGATAAAATTATTAAGAATTCTAAGATGGCGACTGCAGAGCATTAAACCTTCTGAGTGCAGGGTCCTGTGTAGCTGTGCAGGTCACACACCCATGAAGCCGGTCCCAGGTGGGAGGGAGACTTATTTTTCACTTATTCTTTTTGATTTTATGCATTTTTTTATTGTTAAAAAAAATGGGTCAGCATTGCAAATGTCCTACGTTTTGAGTTCTGTATAGAGTTCTGCTTTTGTATTCCTCCTGCCTAATTCTCAGACCTAATCTGTAAAGTCATAGCTCAAAAATTTCTAGTTAAGGATTGTAAAGGATTTGGCGAACGCGCTCATGACTATGAAGAGTTCACTGCTAGAAACAGTTTAAAGGGGCTGGTGTGGGCTTTGGTTAAAGACCAAAGTGGTAATGAGGCTTATATCTCAAAGTTTATGGCCCAGATGTCTTCCTTCTGTCCTTCTAAACCGAACCACCCTTCATGCATTTGGTCTTAAATGGAGCAATGTAAACCATCAAAAGCCAAAGGAAACACTACTCAAAGTACATGTCTCAACTTCCCCTGAAAAGCAGAGTGTTTGAGGAATTGATACCACTGACATCTGCCCAGGTTATTCACAGCAGCATGGCTTATAGAAGGAAAAGGCTGGGAACAACCTAAATGCTCTGTAAAAAAAAGCCTGGTTGTCTATATCATGATGGATCCATACTATGGGATACTGTGCAGCTCTATGGGCCCTAACATGAAACAATCTCTAGAATCTCCTTAGAGGAAAAAACAAGATGTTGAAAGGTGTGTATAATACGCTACCATTTGTGCAGGGCTTCAAACCTGGTTTGTTCCGGTTTGAACCCCTGAGGGGGATTTGCATTTCTAACAAGTTCCCAGGAAGTTATACATAAGAGTCACCTGAGGATTTTGTTAAATGTAGATTCAGAGTCAGTATATCTGGGGTGGAAATGCAAATTCTCAGCAGGGAACTTGTTCGAACTCAGCATTTGTGTAAAAGGAAAAACAAAGGCATGAATGTTTATGTTGGTAAATGTGTACGTCACATCCGGAAGGAAACACCAAAAAAAAAAACCCAAAAAACAACCCACTGCTGTCAAGTCAATTCCAACTCATGGAAACCCCATGTGTTACAGAGTAGAACTGCTCCACAGAGTTTTCTTGGCTGCAGTCTCTATGGAAGCAGATTGCCAGGCCTTTCTTCCACAGCATCACTGGACGGGTTCAAACTACCAACCTTCAGGTTGTAGTCAAACACAAACCATTTGTGCCACCTGGGGATCTGGAAGGAAACACAGGGGCTGGGTATCTGGAAGGAGGAGAATGAGGCCTGAGACCAGAGTGAGAACATGTACATTTCACTGTATGTATTTGTAATGTTAGCTTAGATCATATGAAAAGAAAAGAGAGAGAAAGGAAAGCTTGGTGCAGAGTGAGAAGTCGATAAAATAATACTATGGGGGAAATATTAGACTGATTTGTCCTCTGAGGAATTTTGGAAAGGCAGAGATTTTTTAATTTTATTTTCTTCTCATTTTTCACATGGGAAAGTTTAAGATAGGTAGAATGCTCCTGGTCTAAATCTGTAGTTCCCAACCTGTGACCTTCAGAGGTTGGGGGTGGGGTGAGGCAGGGCCTGACTGACTCATAGTAAGCATTTGGTGGAGTCCGTGGGTGGTGCAAATGGTTAACACACATGCTTGGCTGCAAACTGAAAGGTTGGAGGTTTGAGTCCACCCAAAGTCTCTTTGGAAGAAAGGCTGGGCGACCTACTTCTGAAAAACCAGTCATTGGAAACTCTAGCGAGCACAGTTCTACTCTGATACACATGGGGTTGCCGTGAGTCAGAGTTGACTCAACAGCAACTGGTTTAAGCATTTGATAAAGATTTAGTTTTTGAACAAATGGATGAAATAATGAATGAGTGCTTAGTTATGTTGGAATTGAGTAGGTGAGAGAAGTGCCTCCAGCTGCATTGTTCCTTGGGCTCTAGCACAGGGAACCTCCCTCTGCTACGGGCACCGACATTATTTCTACCTGTGGACAGTGACTCACAACCAAACCATCAGTTTATGGTGACATGTGTCCTTACTCTTCGGAGAGACTGGAAAAATAAGAGAGCCCTGGGAATGATACACAAAGGAGTATAGAATATCTATGTTTAGAGTTCTCTCAAAATGACTCCCGGAGAAAAGACCAAAGTTTCCGCTTCTGTCTCTTAGTTATCTGAACTCATGATAACTGATAGCTAAAGTTTAGGAAAAGGGGACTCCAAACTGATGAATAATGAGGGCCTTTCTTCTTTCAGTGTGCCCTGCATAGAAACGCTCATTGAAAAAGAAATAATACCACTACGAAAAAAATGAAAAGCAAAACAACATTGGCAGTTGTTCAAGGGAAGGTCACTCCAGTAAGTATATCGTGATTAGTTTAAAATAACATCCACTCTTTTTTTTTTCTGATTATGAAAGTAATGCATGTTTCTTGTAGAAAATTTAGAAAATATAGACACACTAGAATGAAAAGTAAAGTTTCCCACAATCCTACCACTCAGATAACACAGTTAATATTTGTGTGGATATATATTCAGTTTCTTCCCTGTATCTGTGCATGAGTGAATATATGTCTGATTACGATCATACTCTAATCTTCATTTTCACTGAATGTATTGTGAACATTTTTCAAGTGATTAAACATTCTTTTAAAAGTGTCTTTAAGAGCCAAATCATTATTTAACAAGTCCCGTGTTCTAATAGTTTGTCATAATAAAGAAGCCGTGTGATGAAACTCCCTGCAAATAAATCCTTCTATTCATCTACTTATTTTTTAGAGTAAATTTCCAAAGGTGGAGTAGTTGGATCAAATGATACATTTTAAAACTTTTTTATTTACATCATCTTTCAGAAAGATGGTATAAATTTATATTCCCCAAAACACCAGCAATGGATGAAGATTCCAATTTCTCCACATCCTCACCAACACTAATCACGTTTGTAGAAAACATTGTGACAAGCATTCCAAGTCTTACATATTTATTCAAATATGTCTACATATTTATTCAAATATGTCTATCAGTCTTTGCCTTTGCTTTGTTCCTATGTCTTAGTGTTTGGACCTTCCCTCTAAAATAACTCACCAATATTTTCTTGTCATTCTCTTGTGGATTTTTTGGTAGCTCTTTGGGTTCTTGTATTTATTTTGGTGATGGTGCAAATAAATCCCTAGTTTTAATTTTTTTCCCAAGTTAACTAATTTACTCAGCCGAATTTATTGTGGAATTTATCCTTTTCCCCAGTAAAGTGAAATGTCCCCTTTATAACACTGTGAATTTTTGAGTATATTGTATATGCTTCTAGACTTTCTATTATGCCACTAATACATATCCATCCATTCTGTGTCAACATCACATGGTTTTAATTATCGTTTAGCAACATGTTTTAAGAGTTGATAATGCAGGTCTATCCCCCCCGCCCCCGTTTTTAAAATTTACAATTCTCCGCTTTTTTCACAGTATTCTTCCATATGAGTGTTAGAAAATTGTCAAGTGTCCCTCCCTCCCACATACCCACAACCACTAGAATTTTATTAGAGTGATTGGGTAAAGTGGGTATTTTTATCTTTGTTCGGTCAAGACTTCCTTATGTTTCGATCTTTATAATTTCTTCATTAAGGCATTGAGGGCATACATATTTGTTAAGTTTATTCCTAGTTATTTTACACTTGTACAAGAGTTCATAATTATTTTTACATTAAAACTGCTCTTCAAGCTTCAACTGAAGTTTATCAAAGCTGACTTTAAAGTTTTGTTTTTCCTCCAGCGGGGTCTTTACTTGTAGGAAGCCAGTCAGAAACTAAAGGCTCTTTGATAGCAGCAATTTTTCGAGTGCTCACTTCTACCTGGCTTGGCGATTAACCCTTCACACGCATTATCTCATTTAATGCTACAGTAGCTCCAGCAGGTTGGTGCAATTTTTATTTCCATTTTACGTAAGAGCGATTTAAGGTTCAGACAGTTTGAGGAACTTGCCAAAAATTCCCTAGCTGATAAGTGGCAGAAATCGGATTTGTCAGATCCTAGGTGTGTGAACCTCCAAAAGTATCACACACACACACACACACCAGCCAATGCCGATTCAAGGGAGTGTCTTTCCAAAAACAATTAATGGAATTAAAAAGACAATGCTTTCCATCCACTGGACCCTCCAAAAAGACTGGTTTTCCTCCAGTATAAACGTGGAGCCAGAGCACAATAAATACCAGTTGATTTACTAAGTCTCCTTAGAATTAAGGACTAGTGATTTTTCTAGTGCTTTCATGGGGATCGTCAGTTTGGAAAATCTGTCGCCCCACTGCAGGACGGGTTAAAAAGAGAAAAAAAGAACAAAAATCAGGTAGGTGGACCCGACCGAAGGCTGGCTAGAGCGGTGCACGCGGAGGCAGAACTTTCTGGGGGGCATTCGGCCGACGCGTTTCACGCGTGGTGCGCGCAGGTGGCGCCGCGGTCTTTGCCCTCCCTCCTGCGGCCGTCAGCACCGGAGCGCCGGTGCCCAGGAGGCCACCGGGAGTCTCCGCGAAGGTGAGAGAAACCTTTCCACCGAGGTGAGGGAGGAGGGCAGGCGGAAAACAGAGCCTACGCTGACGAAAGAAAAAGTCCAATTCCCAGCCTCCCGCCCCTCGGGACGCGGGGCGCCGGCGGCGCATGCGCGAGGCCCGGCCCCCAATTCCCTCAGCGAGAGAGGGAGGCCCTCGGCGGCCGTGAGGCTGCGAGCCGCGGCGGGATCCGAGCGCACGCTGGGGCGCGGCGACGGCCAGGGCTAGCCGGGCTACGGAGGGGACGCCGAGAGCAAGGAGCGACTCGGGTGGGGGTTCAGCCGCGGGCAGACACCCGAGGGCAGCGTCGGCTCGGCCCTGGAAGGGGCCCGGTGCCGCAGCCCCCCAAGCCCGGAGAGGGATGCGTGAGTTTCGCCCCGGCTCGAAGGCAGGATGTTGGAGCAGGACAAAGGCAGGGCGGCGGGGGAGGAGTTGGGGACGGCGCGCCAGTGACCGCCGCCGAAGCCCCAGCCTGGGGCGAGCTAGTGGAGTCGGCAATTTTCTGTGCAACTTTTGCAAAAGGGAAAATAAAAATCTGCAAGTTGTTGCAGAGCTTCAGATCGCCCCGGGTCTAGCGAGCAGAGGGGAGGGGACGCCGCAACCCTCTCGGAACGGGAGGCGACCGCCAGCCCCGCAGAGCGGGGCAGGAGGGGGCGCCCAGCCGGGAGCGCGGATAGGGGTGCCGGGGTCGGAACCGGGGAGTGCGCTCCGGCCGCTGAAGTTGCCCGTGTCCACCACGCAGGGTACGCCCTGAGAGCCCGATAGCCTCGGATCGCCGCGGCGCATACGAGATGATGGATGAGCCGTGGTGGGAAGGATGCGTCGCCTCGGACGTCCACTGCACCCTGCGCGAGAAGGTCAGTCCCTCCCTACTGTCACTCACAGGGTATTTAAAGTCACCTTCGCTCTCGACTCTCCGTGTCCTCACGTTGTCTCGCGTGGGAACTCGCACCTCCCTGTGCCTTTCTTTTCTCCTGCCCTTTGCCCTCTCCCGGAGTGTCTGGGGGAGAGTGTGAACGCCACTGACTTGAGGGAGAAACTGGAGATTGGAGAGCTTGAAGTCAGTTCTTCTGATTAGTGAGCCCAGAGTTCCGGGCCAGCTAAACGGAGACGGTCACTGCACCCCTAAGGCAGTATTTCCCATAGTAATGCCACGCGAGACTATTTTAAACGGTAAATAAATTGGCATTTAAAAAGTAATTACTGTGTATTTATGTTAATGTGCAAATATATTTGTGTGTGTGTATATGTATATTGGAAACCCTGGTGGCATAGTGGTTAAGAGCTACGGCTGCTAACCAAAAGGTCAGCAGTTCGAATCCACAAGGCTCTCCTTGGAAACTCTATGGGGCAGTTGTAGTCTGTCCTATACTGTCGCTATGAGTTGGAATCGACTCGACGGCAATGGGTTTGGTTTTTACATATATATGTGTATATATGAATATAAAGTTCTGTATGGGATATATGATGCTGATCTTCCATTTATTGTAATATAGAGCGTTTTAAAATAAATTTATTTAGGTAAAAGTAGTGACTCAAAATAAAGAAATATTAAGTAAATGATAGTACAAGGAATACATAGATAGGGCGCAAAGAAAAAGTCTACAGAATAGGATTGCAAGGTTGAAATTTAAGAAGCATTAGTCTGATTGAAAGAGAGACTACAAAACTGGGAGGTTGAGTGCAGAAAACAAAAACTCCCCTGCTACTTTCCCTCCTGTGACAGAAGGTGGGGGCAGCTGAAATGT